GATAATGATCAACAAGAAGAGCTGGCAAGCTTTCCCGATCTACACCCCCAATAACAGAACAATACACCAACTCAGACTAGGGACTAGGCGGCCTTATCAATCAACACCTCAGAAGGCGAGCTATACACCTACTTCACGATTGCAGGAATGAGGGCACCACGAAGATAGGCACCAGAGGAAGCGTCATCCGCCCAAATCCGGTCCCCGAGCGTCAGCCACGACCACCACGGCTCAAGGGGAGTAGTTCCCTCCCCGTCAGGCAAGTCCCCCATGAAGAGCGCTTGGAAGGGCTCACCCATTGGCCCGCGCCCGGGTACCACAAAGATCTCGCATCGACGCATATCTCGTCGATTCCCCTCAGGGATCGGCACAGGCTTTGCACCGAGTGCTCCCCCGGCCACGTCACTCGAAGAAGCCCTGTGAGGACGTTTCCCGGCCTCGCCAGACGCCTCCTGTGTTGCGATCGGCGTAGGTCTCTTGTGGGTCAAGACCTTAGACTTCTTGTGCAGTTGTTCGGGTGCCTGATAAAAATTAAATGAAGAATATAGAAAGATAGAAATTGTAGAAGAAACTATGAAATGTATAAGATGTAATTGTCTAGTTTATTTTGATAGTGAGTTCTTGATAGTTATTTATACACACTCAGCAAGGAGGTTATACACATTCAGCATGGAGGATTTTTCTCAACTACTTAGAGATTTCCTCAACTTCCTTGAGGAAATCTTATCTGCTTATCATGCCCCTGCAAGATTGAGCTTAAGGATGCCGATCTTGGACCGATGAAATGAAAAAAGTTGGCGAGAGGCTTTATGAGTGAGTCTGCTAGTTGATTAGCTGTATGTACGTGAGAAACACGGAGTTGATGTCTGACAACTTGATCTCGCACGAAGTGGAAGTCAATGGCTATGTGTTTCATGCGGGAATGGAATACTGGATTAGCACATAAGTAGGTAGCTCCAATATTATCACAAAGGAATAATTGTGGAGTTGACGTTGAGTTCCTTAAGCATATTGTGACCCAATTGAGTTCAGCAGCGGCGGTGGTGATGGCATAATATTCAGCTTCAGTTGTAGATCGTGCAACCGTCTTTTATTTTTTAGAACTCCAACTGATTGGAGTAGCTCCAAGGAAGATAATGTATCCTAACGTAGATGTTCTATTATCAAAGTTCCCTGCCCAATCAGCATCAGCAAAGGCATGGAGATGGAGTGAAGTATTTTTGCGAAGAAAAATGTCATGATTAAGAGTCCCTTTAAGATACCACAAAATTCGTTTGACTGCAGACCAATGCGTAGTAGATGGTCGATGCATGAATTGCAATAATTTATTGACGGCAAATGAAATATCTGGACGGGTGAGAGCCAAGTACTTTAAGGAGCCAAGGACTTGTCGATATTGAGTCGAATCTGTAGCAGAACTTCCATCACATAATTTAAGTGATTCATTGGTCGAGAAAGGAGTTGTAACCTCTTTCGCATCCTGCATGTTTGTCTTTGATAATAAATCTTGAATATACTTTCTTTGTGATAGGAAGAGACCTGAAGATGTAAATGTTGCTTCCACTCCCAAAAAGTAGCTTAAAGTTCCTAGATCTTTGAGGGAGAATCGATCGGCCAAGTGCTTTAGAAATGCCTGAGTCTTCAAAGGATCATTTCCTGTGACAATAATATCATCCACATATACTAAAAGATATATTATGCTTCCATTATGCTGGCAAATGAATAATGAGGTATCAGACTTGGAATTGATGAAGCCAATTGAGGTAAAAAACGAGCCAAGCTCGTTATACCAAGCCATTGGAGCTTGACGAAGTTCATAAATAGCTTTTTGAAGTTTGCAGACATGCCTCTCCAAACGCCTCCTGTGTTGCGATTGGCGCAGGTCTCTTGCGGGTCAAGACCTTAGACTTCTTGTGTGGCTGTTCGGGTGCCTGATAAAAATTAAACGAAGAATATAGAAAGATAGAAATTGTAGAAGAAACTATGAAATGTATAAGATGTAATTGTCTAGTTCATTTTGATAGTGAGCTCTTGATAGTTATTTATACACACTCAACAGGGAGGTTATACACATTCAGCATGGAGGATTTTTCTCAACTGCTTAGAGATTTCCTCAACTGCCTTGAGGAAATCTTATTTGCTTATCAGTGCCAACCCCGAAGGTCGCTCTTGATCCCCCAAGGCTGGCAGGTCCGGCTCCGAAGACCGAGGGGCTGAGGAAGCACGAGGCATCCCTCTCAACTCCTTCGAATTCACCATTCCTACCCAAGAAAGATCGGGATCATTCAGCAAAAGACAAACTTGTGAGTAAAGTAGGAGAATGGGCTCAGACCATACCCCGAGGAGTCGAATTAAGCCCTGCTTCGACCAGCCACTCCTCGGTCACGTCCCTAATTGCCCGGGAAGAAGGACCTCCTTCAAGCGACTGAGCTGCTCACACTCATCATTAGACAAGCCCGGAAGAGAATTGTTAATCGACCGAGATGACCATCGAAGGTCGACACCCTAGCCCCGATTGCAGCTGATAAAAAAATACCAACTCTTGCACCCCTTAGAGTTGGAAGGAGCCCCACTCACCCAGAAACATCCCCAGGACGACAACCAATAGCCGCCTACCCCTTTGGAAAGACGGAAGCAAGAGAAGAAGAGTGAGCGGCTCGGGACAGCCCCTGCCCCTCTACACTCCCCTAAGAAAGCAACCAGATAGCGCCACGAGTTTGCCACCATCTGTGACGGCGAGATCCGCCACCGAGCAAGGCAGGCCTCGATCACAGGATGTAAAGGGAATCAAAGTCCCGCCTCTAACGCATCCAGTGTCCAACCAAACCCGTTCGGGAATGGATCATAGGCACATTGCCCTGGCCAGGGAGAATGAAGCTTGTAGTCGCTCGGGATGTTGTAGCGCTCTCGGGTGTGACCGAGCAACTCCTCGGTCACAACAAAGTCAAAGTCATGTAATGATCGCGAAACTTGAAGGGCTCGCTCGGCCTTCTCGTTCAATGGGGAAGTTTTGCCCGATGACGAGCCACTTCCCCCAGAATTACTCAAAGAGGGAGACGAAGAAGAGGAAGACAAGGAAGAAGAAGGAGACATCTCAACCGACCTGAATAGCTACAAGAAAACGAGAACCGAGGAGGACCACTAAAAGATCGAGGAAGAGCAAAGAAGGCGACCGAAGTAATTGTAGAGCCGATGGATGACAACTAGCCAGAAGGATTATAAAGGCGGCGGTAAACGCCCTAGGTGACCCCTCACCTACCTAGAGGAGGAAGACAGCTCATATCATCATTACAGCTCATGGGGAAGAGCGCCCAGGTCCAAATTTCGAGGCAGGGTAGGATGCAAAAAAGAGCAACAAGCCCCGCACGAGCCATGTTTCTCTCCAGAAGGCAAAGTCGACTTTCCCACCATTTCCCGAGAGTCGAATTTCCCACCACCCTCCGGAAATCGAATTTCCTGCCATCTCCAAGAAGCCGGCATCCCCACTCCCTTCCAAGGGGCAACTCCGCCATTCCCTCGAAACTCTCAGGTCCAATCCCACGATTACCCAATTCCATCAGTCCTCAAAGTGCCCGAGTCACTGTACTCGGCACCATCAGTGCCCGAGTCGCTCCACTCGGCACTATCAGTCTTCAAGTGCCCGAGTCGCTCCACTCAGCACCATTAGTCTTCAAGTGTCCGAGTCGTTCTACTCGGCACCATCAGCCTTCAAGTGCACAAGTCGCTATACTTGACACCATCAGTCTTCAAAAATACTCGAGTCGATGGATTTGCCACTATCAAAACTTCAAGGAACCAAGTCAATAAACCATAAGACTATAAAGCATTCGGCCAACAGCGCTAAAGCTGCTCGGTTTTCAGAAAACGCAACCGGTCCAGGGAAGCGATCTGCCACTACGTACCACCAACAGGCTCCGCTCCCGACAAGCATCACCCAAAAGCCAAACCACCTACATAGCCCCATGTAAGCTAAATGACAGAACCAGGTCCCCGGGGGATCGATGCGAGGTCCTCCCAGTGGGGGGGAGAGAATAATAGAGCACATTTTGGTATACCTGTCATGACAGCACGACCAACCAGTCCCCACTATCTCAGCCTCCTTTCCACTATTGGACAGGGGTCGACGGGTACAACCCCAACTGAGGAACCCGTGACAACACCATCAAGTACAAAGCCGACTCGGGAACTCAGGACGACGTCGCCAAGTACAAAGCCGACCCCGGGAACTCGGGACGGCACCACCAAGTATAAAGCCAACCTCGAGAACTCGGGACGACGCCGCCAGGTACAAAGCCGACCTCGGGAACTCGGGATGGCGCCACCAATTACAAAGCTGACCCCGGGAACTCGGGACGGTGCCGCTAGGTACAAAGCCGATCCCGAGAACTCGGAACGGTGCCGCCAAGTACAAAGTCGCCCCGATGCATACATCGACCGCCGCATAAAAGGTATAGGCTAGCTTTCTGCAGGGGTCGACAGCCATTAAACAAACCCTATATGACCAACCCTTGTGCGTAGGTATAAGAGTCAACCACCTGGCTACGCGGGGCTATTTCCCTAGAGAATTCGGGAGAGGACTTTGAGTAAAATCTCACTCTACTAACTTGACCTTCGAAGAGGTCGGATTGGGAAAACATCTCCCCGACTTTGACATGCGTGCATGTCCCAACGATGAGGAAGCAGACGACGACCTGCTCCGCTCGACCTAACCCGACGACCGCCCAGAGTCTTCGTGGGCGTCTCCTTGGACATCTAGAGCCGAACCAAACCGTGCTGACTCCCCGACCACGGTGTAAAGTTCACTAACAATTACCATGCTAATTTTTCGATCATTATCAATTCACTTAATTTGGATACATTTATAGCATTTAAAAATTTGACATGGTATCGAGTCGGGCCGTTAGATCCATGTTAAATCCCATGACTCTTCCTAAGCTATGGTGCAGAAGTGATATGATTTTGATCAAATGGTACCAATAGCCAAGACTATTTCTAGTGACTTTAACAAAAGCATGATGATTAACTCATCTCTCACAAGTGAAATGTTTCACGATTACAGTTAGCATTGACTTTCACCCAAAAACATGCATTGCTCTAACAAGGACATGCATGAATGCTGTGGAAGAACCACTCATCCACAAGGAACAGCAAATACAATATTTCCAAAACTAAAACCTGAAGCAAACCAAGTTGCACACCATGGTAAGTAGACATTATAGTTTTATGATGTGTCTTCATGGTAAAGATGAAGTCCAAGCCCAAGGCGTGCACAAGCTCTTCGGAATGCCATCGCTTCTGCCTTCTGCACAGGATCTCCGTGCTCCGTATCCTTAACAGAAGCAGTTCCACTTGCTTCTCTATAAATCTGAGGAACAATCGGGTCATTAGGAAGAAGCTTTCATCAGCATAATAGATAAACAAGTCATCTGATTACACGGAAGGGGAGGATGCTAGAATTCATGGGAATATAAATTAATACCAGATGAGGTGTTTCTCACTAAGGTGAATTAACTGATGAATCCAAATAAGAAGAAAATTACAAAGCATCATGCAGTTGGAGATATATATCAATCATCTATACATATTTAAGTGATCTTGATATGAAGTCATTTTATCAACAGAGAAGCTATCTCATGCAAGCCTAGCAGGTTTTCTGTGGAAAATTCATCAGAGTTACATGCACCCATTTGTCCTGATACACAAGGCTATATGATATGTGTAATTTATCTTACAGTTAAAATCCTCAAGAAAACTTCATGAAGTAGTACCAAACTGCGACATGTTTAAGGTGGACCATGGTGTGAATATGTAGCGGTTATATGCATAAACCCTTTTATCTCGGTATGCAGGCCTAAATGCGAATATGTATGTCATCTTGCTTCAACAACATTCATACTAAATTTGCAAGGTCTGATGAAAATGTACCTCAGCATCTGTCCCATATAGAGTTACACGATAAACAACAGAGACTGAACTCCCATCCGTTGAATACACAATGCTTCGAATCTCACCAGACCATTCTACAGAACATAGCAAAAGCAAATGAATATTTGAAATTTCCATCATTTGCAATGATATCTGAAGTTCGACAGGGTTAGCTAAAAGAAATTAGATACCAGGAGCATGTACATTCAGAATTCGATTGATGAAGTGCCTGCAAGCAGTGGATGTGAGAAATGGTGAATGAAAGCTTGCGATATGTGTCGAAGATATGAATATATTTGTAAAACAACATCCTTACCATAAGACAAGCAAAGGTTCATCTTTGATCCAAAGAAATGAGCACTGAAACTACACATAGTAGGAATCATACTAGGAAGCCTCAAAACTCCATTTTCTCAACCTATGTGTAGATAGGGATTAGATGTTTATATGCGGCTTCAGCTTCTTGCATCGTTGGACCTTAAATGGGTTTGAGGATGTCGATACAGTTGCTAAGAATGTTCTGTGCAGATCTGTAGTCACGATTTAAAAACGTGCTGTGCGGAACTGTAGTAACGTTGACGATCTTAGGTTCCAATGCAGTTTCACTGAGCAAGAGGTTGGCAAGTAGGTTAAATTAAAGTTTTCAATCCAAAGTTCTTGCTCTTTCAATTTCTAGGCCTTGTGCTGACATGGAATTGTAAAAAGGTCATACCTGATGCACAAGGCTCTTGCCAATGTGGGGTCTAGGGAGGGTCACTATATGCGACCTTACATCTCTAAACATAGATAAGTTATCTTCGTGACTTCAACTCTGGTCTCCCAGGTCAGAAAGGAGCGTACAAAGGTAGATGGAAATGTCCAACTTGCAAATTCAAATAATGCTCAACTCAACAAATATGCACATAAAGAATGACTACTGACTCCTGGAATAAAATGGGATCAGGTAGTAAATACATGATTAAGGATGCCCATACATCTTGTACTATTCAGGCAACCGAAAAAGTCTAAAGTACATGCTAACCTTAGTTTTTGTCATATTGGAACTTCATTTGAGAATTTGCAGGAGAAAACAAAACATACCAAACAATGTCAGAACTGATATGTGTCTAAATAAACATCTTACTTCTGATCGTGATCAATGAACTTGCATGCTGCATAGAGCAAATACAACAGCCAACCAAATAATAATGATGATCACATGAACACAGATGCAACAATCAAAGTTAAATATAGACCAATCAACATGAGGAAGATAATAAAACATTACAAAGATCTCAATCACAACAGAGCGACAGATACCCAAATGTCTAACAGACATTTGAACTCAAACCCAGAGTCATCCCTTTAAGCTTTCAAGAAACCTACATGTCATCCTTTTTTACTTTAGGGTAGAACACAAAAGGAAACACACATCTTTGCTTATGGACTAACAAGACCGAGATTCCACTCAAAATTTTAAGCTACCACAATTTTCCCTTTCATTCCACAGATAGAATGAAACCCTATTTTAACAAATTCAAGATCCAGTGAATTGTTCTTCAGAAAATACATCATATATCACCAAGTAAACTGAAAATTCTGTAAAACGACACCAATTTAAGCTAAAATGATGAAAGCTAATATACAGCAGGCCCAGCAAGACACGAAGCTTGTTAGCTTCCCAACCTAAGTTAGGCACCAAAGATTTCGTCTTTGATACCAAACATAGCACCACGACTCTGCATCACCACTCC